ATTATAATAATAACAACAGTAACAATGCTGATTATTATTATAATGATTATAATTGTAATGCTTTAAATAATAGTGTTTGTATAATGCATATCCATGCTTATGGAATTTTCTGTGCGCTATCATTAATAACCCAGAAGACCGTAGATCATCCAGAAACATTCTCGGCCTCCAGGGAAATATACAGTTCAAGCTGCCAATTTCGTGCTCGAAGATCAACGAACTGTCAAGATCTTTCGCCGCCTATAGCCGGGTACCCACTCCTGCACGGATGAAGTGAAGAAAAATTATGTTAAGTGTCATTCCCAAGGACACAACCTTTGGGTGATGGTGTTGTTCAAACCCATGACTTCTAGGTTATTTGCTCGACAGTTTATCCACTAGACCACCGACGCCACTTAAATGGAACCTATTTCTGTTCCAGTTCAGCTTGCTCTTAATGAGGTCAGTTTAGCTTAAAAGGTAACGGTGAGGTCAGTTTTCCTTAAAATGCTCCGATAGAAGGGGTTCCATAGGCGATGAAAAGCCTCTAAATTCTTTTCCTCCACTCATTTCGGGCATAATTTGCTAATGGTTTCTGGTACGTCGGTGGGGAAACAGCTCAATAAATACAATTACTCGTGACAAAATGGTCGCGCTGACAACATAACACCCATTTTGTTAGGGGACAAGTCTTCAATGATCTCGCTAATCAGCTACAGTGGAGAGATAGATATGGGCATTGAGAGAAATATAGTGTCGAAATGACACGTTTTATGATCATCATCGTCATCATCATCATCATCATCATCATCATCATCATCATCATCATCATCATCATCATCATCATCATCAGCAGCAGCAGCAGCAGCAGCATCGTCGGGCTTAACCAGCAACTTTAGTGAAATAAAAAGCTCATCAACAAAACTATGTGATAACAATTGGTCACTAATTTGATGGGTCTCAATGGTGCGTAAAAACTACGGGAAAGAATCGGGGCGCAGAAAAGAACATAAAAAACTAGTTGTAATACTATAAATAAACATGGTCTCATGCAAAGTGTCCATGTCTCTCTCTTTGTGTCTCTGTTGCCTTCTCTCTCTGTCTCTCTGTTTCTCTGTCTCTGTCTTTGTTTCTGTCTCTGCCTCCCTCTCTCTCTCTCTCTCTCTCT